ATATTTATCTCGTGCGTCATCGTTTTGCTATACTTTTTCTTAGTTGTGTTGCACTATTTGTGAATTTGTGAATTTTTGTACTACGTATGCAATTTTGTTGTATTTATATCAACATTTCATGTGAGTTGGTTGGTGTGATGATATCTACTAATTGCAAGATTTGTTCAAATTTTTAGCATGTATTTGGCATTGTACCGTACTGTTTTGTACCGTTCCGAAACGACATGGTACCGAATGGTTCCATCCTTGGAACCGGACCGTACCGGACCATTAAAAACCTCACAGATACATTACGGGTTTAACCAATTTACCGGACCGTTCCGGACCGCGTCCACGCCTAACAAAGTCTACAATTAGTGTTTTCAATTTTTTTACTTTTATGGGGTAATAATATTTTTCTTTTGTTTGACTATACAACTCTTGAATTTACTATGGCATCATACGAAGTATCATACAAAATTTTATCATACGTAGTAATAGTTTCCTTTAGGATGTAGTGTGCACGGAGTATATATAATTTATACTTTTTAGAATAAGTCTATGAAAGAGTTTGACACTTACACCATTTGTAGTGATGGAGAAGCCAAAATGTTTTTTTATATCATAAAACAACGGCCATTATATTAAAATCGAGAAACATTCAAGACAATCTTCTGACAGAATTTACAGATCCAATCGTGAATCGTATGAGTAGACTTAGAGTCAGTCACCTTATACAAAGCAACATGACTCGCTAAACCTGAAACGGACAAATTTAGGCCTAAAACGATCGGAACCGAAACTCTGCCTATCAAAAGAACTCCGAAAATCCAAACATTCAAACCAAATTTACTCTGACTAAAACAGAAACAATTGCTACCAAAGAGAAAATATTAATATTGAAATAAAATCTTTCCACAAAGCTCTTCCTGGTATGGAGGTGGTTCCGGAGGAGGATGAACTCTTGCAATATGGATGAATACCAACTCCACCATCGTCAGAATGGCCGACCAAGGATTCACGATCCGGCCTCGAGTCAACCTCCCAGCCGCACCTCATTCATCCGGCAACGTTGTCTCCTCTGGCGTAGTTCCAATCCAAAGCGCGTTAGAACACTTAAAATTAGTATAATCTGCCGCTCCAACCCCATTTTGATAGGGGCGGCGGAAAATCTCAACCCCTACAAAGACGGGAGACGGCCGCTAGTGTTCCTCTCTCTAGAGAGAAGAGAGAGACGTGTTTCGGAGAAGCCAAAATGTTAAAAATGGATTACGTCCATATGAAAACAGTGTTTAGACTTTTGCTTTCTGTATTCTAGCATAGTCAATAAAATACACTCACCATGTTTTTTTACATATCAATTTAGTAAAACATTTATTAAATTTTTATATGTATTGTTTTCGTTTTAATTTTTTCCCTGAATAGTTATGAAATAAAAATATACATTTCGATGTAAAAATAAATAAATTTCATTAATTTTTTAACATTTTTCGATTAAAAAAATTGAAATTAGTTCAAGTAAAGTTTGATTATGAAATATTCAATTATTGATGAAGGTTCCATGAATTAAAAATTGTGTTTCATGTTTTTTTGGGCTCAAGAAAAACTTCATATATTTTTTCATTATGTATATTACATATTGGTGTACATATTGGTCATAAAAATTCATGAATTTTGATATATTTTTTAAGAAATTTGGAGAATAAAAAACAAAGATATAAGAGTTAAAAAATTGGTATTATAATGACATAGAGATGGCGCAGGGATAACACCATCCCCACCTCCTTTCACTAGTCATTCCTTTCTCGTTCCCCTTTTCTTTTGTTTTTCGTTTTCTTTTCCTCATGTCAATTCTCCTTCTATATCCAACACCTTGCATCCACTTTTCCACTTTTAATACCCCATTTAATTAGCACTACGTGAAATTAGGAGTCCCAAAATTTCATCTTTAACATTTTGGATTCTAATACTACACCACTACCAATGATCTTAGACCTTGGAAAATATAAGACCAGCCATAGCAGCAAGATGCATTCTATGGAGACATTGTTGAGTTTCTGTTGAAAAATTTCAGACCAATTTCAGGACAACTGCAACTCACAAACGGAGAGTTATTAGATATTGAAGATCAAGATGTTAGAGCGGTATTTGGGTTGCCAATGGGAAATATTGATGTTCAAGAAGCCAATGGCAAAAATGACACTGAAGAATACAATGGATTACGAAGCAGTGGAGAGAAGAGTGGGGAATTGATTAAGGAAGACCTTAAATTTTGTTGTCTTTACAGTGTCATGCCTCATCAGAGGCAACCAGAGCATCAGTAGCAATTTGAAAATATTGTTGTCTTTAGTGAAAGTTGAGGATATTAAGAATATGAACTTGTGCAAGTACACTGGAAGGTCACTGATGGATGCTGGTGAAGAATGACAGGCGCATCCATCAAGCATGTTCACTGGACCGTTGCTATTTCTTATGATTTGTTACTTTGACAGAGTACAATTCAAAGGACGAGTGTTGGATACAGTTTATCCAACTCTAAGAATCTGGGACAAAGAGAAAATTGATAAAAAGGTCAAAGATGAGAGGAAGTTAGGGTTTGGTCTAGGCCAGGTGAGGCCAAGAATAACAAGCAGAAGAACGAGAACAAAGAGAAGAAGAAAAACATGAAGAAAAAGAAGATGATCGAATACAGACAAAGGAGGTAAGGTTTCATTTAACATTATATGTGATTGACATGATGTAACTGTGTGTGTAAAACAATATAACTTGTATGATTCAAAATAAAACCTTGCATAGTTTGAATTACACACCATAGACTTATAATTCCAATACGATGTAAATTACAACTAAAAAATGTAACTCGTTGCATAAAAATATAACATCTACATATTCAAAATGTAAACTGTAATGATTGTATATATATATTTTAATGAATGTGATACAATGTTTTCTAATATATTGTAATTATTATAGGACTATGTGAAGGAGATTGTTTCAGTGGCACGAAAATTCAGTGATGCTTTCATCTAATTCTCAAAGCTACCATCAACAATCTCAAAACAATTCCCAAATTCAAATATCTTGAAAAAGATATACCTCACAACAGCAGACTACTTCATTCGCCAAGCTAATGGCAAAGAGAAGGAACATGAAAGAGAGGGATTGGCAGAGATGTGCACTCTTGAGGAAGATGACGACTTTTTCAATGAACCAGGGGTCATGGAAGCCCTAGAAAAACTTGAAAAAGTAGCATTTCTGAAATTCTCAATGCCATCATTTGATCTGGGCATTGAGTTTAGCATGTCTCAACCTCTACCACAAGAAAACAATTCACAAAATGCCAAAACAGATGCTCACATGGATGCTGAGACTGAAGAAAGAGTAAATGAAGAAGAAGAAGAAGTGTTGATAGAGGCTAGTGGACATGTAACGGTGGATGTTGCAGATGTAGCATATGAAGTTCAAAATGAAGAAAATACAGCTCCTTTAGCAAAGAGGCAGAAGGTAAAAAAAACTGAAAAGCAATGGGATTTCAGATCACCGTTTCTCAGGCGGAACAGAAGGCTATGTAAGGAGATGAGTAAGGAAGAAAGGATTGCCATAGACTATGGTTTCTCAAAGGAAGTTGGAAATTAAGAAATGCTTTTTTATTCATGTGATTAATAAATGTAACTAGAGTAGTAGAAAATGTATTTTCACATTATATCAGATGTAAATAGTAGACATGAGATTACAATCTGATGTATAATAATCTATGTTATTGTGTTAGTGAATTGCTTTATCAAGACAATGATGGAGTGGTTATGTGCCATGAGGAGTCCCAGACGCTGCAAGAAGACAAACTGGATAACTCAATAATAGATGCATGGGTGAAACTGCTGAATGACAGAGAACAGAAGAACAATCCACCAAAACATGCACTCATTTGTTCTACCATGGTCTATGTATGTATATTTTTACTAAAAAATTGATATAAAAAAATTAATCTGATGAGTTTATATCAATGTGAAAATGCGGGGGACAGTTCTTGATGAGGTATACTGACCCAAAAGAAAAAATGTTAAAAAGGTTTGAAATTGAAATCAATTAAGCAGGGAGGGGACATAAAAAACTTTGATATGGTAAAATGTCATTATTACTCACAAAACAAATCATTGATTATCAAATAATAAACACATGAATGTTTTTTTATGATTTGTGGGTGTTGTTTCCAATTTATAAACATCAACATTACTATGTGTACTGCTTCTACTTTAAAAAAACATAGTTGATGTAATAGACGACAGGATACTGAAAGGAGTGCCATTTGAAGACAAATATGGCGAGAGTTTTAAACAAATGGTAAAAGTAAACAGATTTTATGTAATTTAGATTTTTTCAGTCTATTAATGTATCTTATGAAATAGGTGAAAGGATTTAGAGCATATTGCAAAAAAATTAGACACAATGTTGGGGAAATGGCAAAGTGGATCTCAAGATATCTGAGTATGCCATGGCGATATAATGGCAACCATGTTGACTGTGGCTTATTTTCAATGCGTCATATGGAAACATATCGAGGCCAGGGAGACAATTGGGAGTTAGGTTTTCCGAGTGCTGCTACAAATGATGGACTGAAAGCTCAAAATGAAATTCTGCAAAAGCTCGGACTTATATATGCAGCAGAAGTCCTAATGTCAAGGTTTAACGTTGAAAGGAGAAATGTTGTTGAAAATAGGAAAAAAAAAATCTGTAATATGTAAAGTGGTCTGACTGTTATGAAGTACTTTTGTGAAGATTTGTAAAACATTTGGTGGTTTAATTTTTTGGGAGGGGTGGGTAATCGGTGTGAAGACATTGTTTGATGAAGTCTATTAGTCATTACTAGTTTATAATTGAAGTCTATTATGAAACATATTATGTGATGTGAACTGATCAACAACTTCTTATAAAGGTTATTTTGTTTTTTCATAGCAAATTTCTGTATTTCTGAATCGCAACACCTGGAATAAGTAGTGTAACTATAGAGTAAACATGATGTATCTCATGTTAATGAAACATGTAAATCCATGAAAAATAAAACTCTAGGTACTGAGTGCACTGAGTGTATATATATATATACTAGCGTTGAAGCGCGCGTTGCGCGCATTCTGTGCCCGATGATAGGAAACAAGGAAAAATTTTGATTTGGCTAGTTTACGGGGATCGTCAATTTCATCAGAAACAATCAGTTCAGTGAAGAATGACCTTGATGTGGTTTCAATTGCTACACCCAGAACCTCAAATATCTGTTTCTTGGACATTTTAAGAAAAACTTGCCTGATCACAAGGATTAATGTTGTCAGCATCCAATTTTCTGTCAAATTCAATCTGTCAAGGGCAGGCCATTTGAAATTGCTCCGAACTCGGTATTTACAATCTGAAAACATAACCATGTCAAAGAGTTACTTGTATCAGAAGTTTAAGTCTCTGGTCCTGTTTGGTAGCACCAATCAACTTATTCTTCTTATCAGAAGACATGAGAGGCGAGCAAATAACTAAGACAGAAACAGTAAACACCAACTGAAGTTTCCACTCAAATACTGACTTCATAACTTGATTTTTAATTTGAAAAGGCCACTAAAATTACAAAACCTCATCAACAAAGGATAAACTACAAGAGCATTGTGTCATGTGATATGCAACTTAACAGTCTATACACGTATAAACAACATGATAAAAGAAGCACAGACTCGGATGTTTATCACAAACTATCAAACTATCGATGAAGAGAGAGTAAATTGAACCTGACGAATCACAAACCGCACAAAAGACCCATTAAACCAGATGTAACAGTGCATGCCTGAAGCATAGAAACCTTAGATAAATACAATACAAGGCATTAAAATTAACTAAATTTTAGAAACACTAAATTAACTAAATGCATACATAATACATATTCTTCCTGAAATTATCTTAAAATAAATACAAGGCTTCGGAGATCATTTTGACCATGTACACATAGAAAAAAGTGGGTATCATATCACAGATTAAATCCAAATAAAATTAAACATACATAAACAGATGATACCCAACCTCAAATTCATTCCACATGGTCGTTCAAGGTCAGTGCTTTGTCATCTAAAAGTGGATGATCTGAAGCTCTAATTGGATGAAGGAGAAACTGATTGAAAGATGGAGAATTGGAGGAAGAGATTGCAATTACGGAAAGAAATGAGCTGAAAGATAAGGTGGATATTTGTTTTTCAAGCTGGAAAGAAGTGTATTCTTCCTGAAATTATCTCTCTATAATCTAAAGCGTGCAAGGATGTTAGCATGGCCCTTTTAAATACAAGGCTTTGTCATCTAAAAGTGGATGACCTGAAGCTCTAATTGAATGAAGGGGAAACTGATTGAAAGATGGAGAATTGGAGGAAGAGATTGCAATTACGGAAAGAAATGAGCTGAAAGATAAGGTGGATATTTGTTTTTCAAGCTGGAAAGAAGTGTATTCTTCATGAAATTATCTTCTAATAAATACAAGGCTTCGGAGATCATTCTGACCATGTACACATAGAAAAAATGGGTTTCACATCACAAATTAAATCCAAATAAAATTGAACATACATAAACAGATGATACTCAACCTCAAATTCACTCCACATGGCCGTTCAATGTCAGTGCTTTGTCATCTAAAAGTGGATGATCTGAAAGATAAGGTGGATATTTGTTTTTCAAACTGGAAAGAGATTTATTTTAAATATGAAGATAAGAGAGTATTTGTTACCATCCCTTCTTAATTTTCAGCTGCTCCAGAGAAGAAGATATGATAGTTAATAGGTATCAGCAAAAAGGCAATCAAACAGAATGCAAGCAAGAAAGAAAAAAAAAGATAAGATATTACAGGTTTTTTAATAATGAGCTTTACTAATCAATTACTCATAGAGTAGAGAAATAGTGGGAAAAAAGCTAAGCACCTGTATCTTTACTACTTTCTGACATCCTTCCGCCCTTTCCATCCTCGATATTTCTTTTGAATAATCTAAAGCAACTGAGTAATAATCAGGTGTGAAACAGAATATTAGCAAGGATGTAGCTGAAACACCCTGAATCCCATTTGTGAGAGTAAAGTATTCATCCCTAGCAGAAAAGAAACAATTTCTTTCTGTTGTCTGTTCCTCAAAGAATGTGCCCATAAAGCAGATTGTATGAGCTTTTTGCAGTTCAAGAATAAAAGATCTGGACGAAATTTATAAGCACAATTGCTATGCTTCATTCTTCTGTTTTATACTTCCAAGGAACACAGAAATTACACTTCAATACAGGAAGTATTCATCACTATACTTGCTAATACTTAATAATGGCTAAGCTACTTCACATTTTCTACTATGTAGTTCATATGGCACATTAGCAAAGAGCGTGAACACAGCCTAGTGAACAAAGAAGGGAGGATTGAAGACATATAATTGTATGCAAGCAATGTAGAAGAAAAAGAATATGTATTGTTTACTATCTCATAAAAAAAGTAACAGTAAATTTTTTACTGGAAGTTTGTGAAGAAAAAGAAATAATTCAACCATAGCAGCTCTTTCCTACTCCGTGGAGTCCTTTCCCTGGGATTCAACACTCTTATAAGTTGAAATCACACGTGAAGCGTTCATTCACAAGTTCAAAATAACGTGAAACGGACAAAAGACCTACGCCTTCTGGCGACGCAGCGGACAGAAGACCTACGCCTTCTGTTGCCGGACAAAAGACCTGTGCCTTCCGTTTCCGGACAGAAGACCAGGGAGCAGCAGAAGAGCTCGGACGCCTTCTATTCTGGAGCGAGCAGAACCCAACATGCATTATCCGTTATATAACATAAAACAGATCATAACAATTAGGGAAACACAACATTCAATCGCATGCCAAGTAACTTTGAGATACTAATATACGACATTATGATTGTATAAAAATAACAGACTTTGTTCAAATAAATATATACATAACATAATATAAACCTCCTGGAAAATATGAAGTAAAGAGATTTATAAACCTCACAAACCTACAAAAAACACATTCTGAGGAAAAAAATTAGAAGCAAGAGTGAATAAAAATCGAATAAGAAAGGTATGTTAGTTTTATCATAGTTGGAAAATATGAAGTTACAAAACACATAAAACCTCACACACCCATGAAAACACAAGCAAGGGAACAAATTAGAAGCATAAATGAAGTTCTTAGCAAAGCTGTTCATTGGGCAGAAGACTGCACTTATGCTACTGTTTCCATCAGACCACTAAGGTCTTCTAAGTAGGTTAATACAACTGGACTGAAGTGCTACTCAAATATAAAGGAAACGAAAATGAATCTGCTAACGTCAGTCAGGATGGAATGCATCATGAGCTCTATTCACTCTAAAGCAAAAAATGTAAGTCAAGTTTTTTTCCTTTCTATTTGAGTAGCTCTGCACCATCTTCCACATTCTCTTCTGAAAAAAACTAATGTTAGCCTGGGTGCACTGAAAACCATACACCTAATTTTTGCATATGCCAAAGTTGAAACTTTGGTAGGGATAGCTCAATTGGGTCAAAATGTGCATGATATATCCAGCTTACAAGATAAAACTGAGAGAGCTTGCAAAAGTTGAACTCACGCAAAGACAAGAAGGCTTTATATAAAAGGCTCTTTAATCCTCCTTTTATTAAAGATCTTAACTCTTTTTCAGGGCAAATGAGGTAAGGTTGATAACCATTAGCTTCTAGTACAATCTGGAAATAAGTAAACCAGTCACATAACCCACCAGAGAGAAGGAACATTGAATTGTAAACAATTTAGTTTTAGGATGTGATAGAGACACACCCTCTTGAAGTTGTTCATATCAAAATGTCTATCCAAGGGAAGTTGTTTAATCCTATTGGGGAAGTTTCCTTAATAATTTGAAACTACTTTCCAGCCATCACCCTATAAATGCAATTTTAACTGATCATTAAAACTTCTGTACACAAAGGACATAGAATATGGTGTAAAACTAATCTGCAACACCAATTTAAAAAAATAAAATAAAGATGCTCTTAAGTTCTTTAATCATATAAGATAATAATTAAATTAATGTCATGCATGGCAAGTACAAAGTGTGGAGCATACAAGAATCCCATATGTCAACATATCATGAATCCCTAAAATGGAAATTGGGGGGTGTAATTCAAGATTTTCTAAAGCACATTCAAAAGGATCCTCAATTGCTAACATGTATTTCCCTCTCTTATCCATTTCATTGAGATATCATATGACCGATTCATATTCAGACAAAATACTTTCCCCTGTTATTGTTTAATTACCATTCAAAAGCTTAACTCAAAAAATAGAGGTAGTCTTTTTGTGGGGCTTACCTCACCATCAGTATTATGCAGAAGAAACACATACTCAAATGCATGACAAAGCTTCAGGCTAATGCTTTACTGATTTCAGCAAATTACGGTATAATTAATGAGGAAGATAGGTTACCCGAGTTGTTTGATAATCGGTTGCAGCAACATGACAATCAACGATTGTTGGGCGGCCTCCGAAAGAAAAATGTCCAGGGATGTGTCCTTCTCCTTATACTATGTCTCCTCCTCCTTGATCGAGGGCTCAGTTTCTGAATAATGGTTGTATGCCAGAGAATTTCTTTGACGAACTTCCAAACTTCTGGAGCGCGAAGAGCATGAATCAGCGGAAGACTGGAGGCTAGGCAGCTTCGGTAGATGAAAAGAGCTCTCAAAACTGAAACACAAACGGGAGAGAAGAGAGATTTCCATCTTGCAGGAAAAGCATCCACAGTGCGCGAACGATCCCTGTCCGCAGCAGCTAGGTTTGCGCACACGCGGTCCGAAATCCATTTGACCTGCGAAGAGGAAAATAGAAGGGGAAGAAAACGGAGGAAGCCGTTTGGGTGGGTTGCGGCAAAAATGAGTAACGGAAGGGGACTGTTCAAACGGTAAATGAGCCATGTTAACATCCTTACATGCTTTAGATTAAAGAGATATGTGTGTGTGTGTGTGTGTGTGTGTGTGTGTGTGTGTGTAGGGAGCGGTTCCGATAAGAACAGATCTTAGGAGAAAAATGAGAACGAATCTAGACCGTTGGATTGTATTATGTGGAACCAAATTGTGCATTTGGTGAAACTGAAATGTGCATTAAATGATATTGAAATGTGCAAAATAAAAATTTAAACTCAAGTGTGCATTAGATGAAACTGATATGTGCGGGAAAAAAGTACAAAAATAACATCACATCGTACTTTTTATTCTGCACATTTCAGTTTCACCTTATGCACATTTCAATTTCACGTAATGCACAATTCAACTGCACATAATGTCACTCTATCGTACCCTTTGTAATGCACATTTCAATTTCACCTAATGCACATTATAGTATCATCCAATGCACACTAAATCTCACTTGAAGCAAATCTAACGGTCCTGATTCGTTCTTATTTCTCTCATAAGATCGTGTTCTTATTTGAACCAAAACATATATATATATATATATATATACTAGCGGTGTACGCACTATGTGCGATATGTGCCCAATGTTTTAATGAATTACCATTATGTCTAATTAGTTAGAATTCTATAAATATACTCCGTAAAAAATTTGGATTAATAAAACCAATGTAATTAATCTTTAGAATTTTGAAAATTTGAAAGGTGTACATGGTATACCTCCAACGTACACTAACTTGTTGTGTATTAACTAATCAATACTCCGTATGTGTTTTACGAAGTAAAGGTAAAAGCTAGTAAACATTTTGGGGAAGGAAGGCAGTTCAGTCACAAACAATGTTAAAAGCTAGTAAACTTTTTGGGAAGGAGGCAGTTTTGTCAAAAGCAATGGTAAAGCTAGTAAACTTTCAAGGAAGGAGTGTAGTTCAGTCAGCATTGGCAAAAGCTTGTAATGCTTTAAAGGAAGGAAAGAGTAATAGAATTAGGTATGATTTTAAGCTTACGATTATATCACCCGTGTGTTGCAGGGGAATGCACTAACCAATGCGTATATAAAATGAGAGATATAATTCTAAACAAATGACAATCAAAATTATAATTTGGTGATTATGTGATCATCTTAATAAAAACAATTGACAGAGGAGAGACATGGACTACATTATTACTATTGTTAAGATTTCGGGAAGAAGAAGAAATATTTTAAGAGGACTTCTTGGTATATAAAAAGTTGCCAACAGTGACCCCTAGAAAAACCAAAGGGACTAAGAATCTCCAAGAGCTTGATGATGAACTCAGGGATCTGTGTCGTGGTTGTAATGAGACTGCTTTTTGGATTTGGAGCTGGTTAGGACGGGAATGGTTGAGGCATCTAGTTCAGCAACACACATTTCATCCATCATTTACCCACATCCTCAAAATCATTAATTATGTCCTTCCTGCATAATACATTGAATATACATGTAGCTAGGCAAGCGAAATTTCCTTGAAGAAAACTTTCGTAGTTTGAGGAATAACCTTCAAAAGTCCTAAATATATTTATGGGGAGATATCCTCAAACATGCTATCCTCAAAAACAAACTTATTCTACTATATATATGCAGCTGAATTGGTTGATAATAACAAAAACAGAAAAGTGAACGAGAAAATATGTCACTTGTTTCATTTTTTGCAAGTATTTCCACTAATATGTGACCAATGGGGGGGTTAATTAACATATAAAGCAATTTTATCAGCCTAGAAGCATGAGACATATGATGTTTGTAATTGGACTCATCAAATTTTCTGGTCTGATTTGGTAAATGTTTGATATCTGTGTATTTCATAAATATCCAAGTCGGATCTGGTTTGATCTGGTCTGGGACTAAAAACAAACCAAATAAAAACATCCTAAAGGCCATTAAAATAGATACAAATAAATAAGCACATTGTTAATTTCAATGAAGGTAAGAAAATCGAAACCACTACATTATACATCCAATCTGAACATTCAAATACCGGCATCATCCATTATATTGATTTGAGAAGCAGGATTACAGGACATCATCCATATAATTCTAAAAAAGACTTTTATTTGGCTAGAGAAAATGAAAAACTACCAGATGTCTCTTGAAATTATTGCAAACTGCAATACATCTATGAAGTAAGAAGTACTCATGTGTTCTCATGTGTGTAGGCATACCAACTCATAGTTACGAATTAAGAGCTTAAGGCAAGTAGATTTGTCTTTTTAATCTCAAATCTCTTAATAAAAAGTAACTTGTCATTTAGCTAGTAAGAATACAGAAACTGAAATTCTTTAAGAATTGGAAGTTCTAATATCAAAAGGGGCATAAATAAAGGTAAAGTGCAGAGGCATGCTTAAAAACAAAAAGTCCAAAAGAGATATTCTTAATACGTAATCAATCCTTACTTTTCACAATTAGAGTCAAAGAGAGAACCTGTTTAACACAACTTGGACATTATTAATTTTCACAGTTTTTATTGGTTCATTTATAATAACAGGCTCATAGTCACATGATTCGCGGTACGGTTCGATACGGGAACGAGGAACGGAAGCGCGGTTCGCTAGATCTAGCGTATCCGATTCGAAGGGGGTAGGTTCATTTCGGTACGCGTTCGGTACGGTGTACTATATGTTCGGTACGATGTACCTAATATTTTGGTACTATAATAAAACTGAATTACAGAATAGAGATTTCAACATTGAACAAAAAATTTCATAACATGATTTTTTAACATTATAAAAAAGCAAAAACATTAATATTCAAAGTGTCTAAAGTCAAGTAGAGAGAATAAAGTCAACTGGAGAGGGAAGACTGCTCAGAGTAGTTGGCGTATGAAACAGATCATTTTGCTTAAATTTATATGGAGTAACTGTTATTAGAGGGTAAAATTGATGAGAAGGATCAGAAAACTAAGAGTCTAGTAGCGTGGTTCTAAAACCAAAGATCGTCTTCGTACAGCGTATACACATGGGAAACGAACAGGAAAGTAAGAGTCGCAGACCTGTTGGAACTTTGAAAACTGGGAAACGACGATTCACATCTGGATGACGGGAAATGAAGTTTTCATGCCGCGCGACTACTGGGAACGCCGGATAAAGTCGCTGCGAACATCGTTTGGGATCGATTTGAAGATCGATTGGGATCGACGATGAACAGCGACTGGGAACGATAAGACGAGCGTACCCGATAGCGTACCGCAAAGCGACCGGATCGTTTTCGTACCACGATTGGGTACGGAACGATCGGTACGCAGTTCGCGCCTCCTGGAGCGATTTATGTATCTATGAACAGGCTCCAATGCCTTTTAGAGAGATTAGCTACGGAAACATTTAAAAAATCCCACTGGGCAACTTACATTTTTTGTAAATTCTTCAAAAGAAAGTTGCGCTTTTATGGTGTATAAACTTCACTTTTTTTATCCTAAAAAAGAAATAAATGAGCATACCCAAAATTTTATCCTAAAGAGAAATAAATGAAACAAAGTGATAAGATTTTTACAGTAATGGAAAACACCCTCCACTTTTATGAACTTTAATTTGAGAGAAATGCAAAAAAACTTCTTCATTTTGAGAATGTGAATATCATATTAAAAGTCACCTTCATTTGAGACGGTTAGATTTCGAGCATTTAAGAACACCCTCCACATTATGTTGTGATGGTTTTAGTTCTGTATAAAGAAAATTTATGTAGTGTATTTATTTGTCTTTCATGTATATGTCATACGTGTTTCCCGTTCCAGCTAATGTGTTTCTCGAGAATTACAGTGTTCCAAGCATTTCGCTTACTAAGCAAGGTCTTTGATATGGCCCTAAACATGAAAAAATTAGACTTTGAAGTAAAAGTATGGATTTACTTCACCTTTTTTAAAGACAAGCACTTTGCTTTGCAGTTTTCTCCAGTAAACCATATATATCAACAAACCTGCGGCCTGCCATTCTCAAAATGAGTGAGAATTAATGTAATTGGTGTTAAGAATGTATGCTATAAGGTTAATTGTTTTGATTTTATCTAGGGCAAATTCTAAAAGATTTTCTGGTGTTGACAGAGATGGTATTGAGATAAAGAGGATTATAAAGAACTATAAGGTTGTGACTATGAAGTTATAAAATTACATGAGATTAAACTTAGTATAATAATTATGTTTGTGAAGCTATTGTTTGCCATTTCACAATGACTTCTTTTGCATTTCAATGACAAGATGATAAATCTTGTTATGAACTACAGGAAGAGGCATTTTATCGGACAACATGTAGGGGTTAACTAAGAGTAATTGTAAAAATCATAAAAACGGACACTTAATATCCTCCAAAATTGTCCATTCAGGAGCAGTGCTTCAACAGATGAAGAAAACAGTAACGTGTAAGTATATTAGATCAAATCAGTTACATGATTAGTATTTGCTAGGGGCGAAAACGTATGTTTGTTTGAGAGATTTAAGTAGTTTAAACTTTAAAGTGCTGCACTAAAAGAAGCATGAAATTTCAATAGAGGAGAAGAGATTCAAGAGAATACCAATTGTAAAGAGAGTTTTAGCAACTAAAAATGGTAGAGGAATATGCCTCCATCGGAAGAGCTTACTCTTCTTCTTTTTTGGGAGGAAGAAATTAAATCTTCTTGAGCAGTCGTTCTAACTTCGAAAGATGTTTAAAGACCCCAGAAACATAAATTTGAATGGACGCGTAAGTTGAAGATCCGTCGCTGGAAAGCCTCGAGGTCGTTAACGTTAACCGATTTCGTTAGGTGTTTAACGGAAAAAAGACTATGCTAACGATGGTTGGCTCTTATTATATAAGCAAAGATATATATATATATATATATATATATATATATATATATATATATATATATATATATATATATATAATATATATATATATATAGGGTGCGGTTCCAGTGAGAACGATGCTTAACGTGAGAACGTGAGAACACTCACATTTAAATCAATGTGGTGCACAATGGAGCTATTCTGTTGCACATTTTCAATTTGATCGAAATAAGAGTATAATAAATAAACACGGTGGCATTTTTGTAAATACTGTTAAAATGTGAAAATGTGCAATATACAAGCTTCATTGTGCAACACGTTGGGGAAAAAGTGGTGTTCTCACGTTCTCACGTTAAGCAATGTTCTCATTTGAAATGCA